AAGCCATCTCTTGCCCTGTATGACAGTATCATCACTCAAAACACAAGCGATGAAGCAGCAGAACTGATCATCTGGCGCCGGGAATGACGACAGCGGGGTTGGATAACACCCGTTCGCAAGCGGGGTGAAAGAAGAGAAGTGGCGAGCTCTTCGGTCCCGCCAAGCTTCCCGCTCGCCTACCATCCGCCTAGCCGTGCTAATAGTCTGGGCGCAGGCGTAATTGTGCCGAGTTCCGTACCGAAGCCTCAACACCAACGTCATTTTGCACCAGTTTCCAAGCACCCTACCTGTGACTACGCTGCAAAGGCCTGCCAGTAACCTTCACGAGCACCCTTTCGCCAAGCCCTGATTCCTTCGTATCGCTCGAGGCGCCTAACGTCTATCCGTGCAGCTTGCTGATTTCGCGTCACGCCGCATGCTAACGGCTGAAGCTTGTCACCAACATGTCAAGGCGTATTTTCCCTTGGGTATCCCCACCGAAATGGGTCGAGTGTCAGCCTCTTCTCGCTCTTATCTGCCACCGGTGGCTTGACTGCAGCGCCGAGCCTCAGATGCGGGTCACGAGACTCATCAATCACTTCTGGCCCTGCACCAGCTTCCGCTTTACTCCACACCTTCCATCCTCATACGGAAGATTCTAGTCGCACGCTAAACCGTGCCTATCATTGTGCTTGTATCTTGCTCATCACTCCATGACAAAATCATCGCGAAGAGATTCTGTGCGCTGTGAGCACAATAACTCACATTAAAGACATGAAAGACGCTACGTGATTACACAGATATTAGATCATGCTCACAGCCAAAATGCCTTCAATCGGCTACAAGTGGATAACCGGTCGACTAACCCCACCTGTACCACGATTCAGACAAGCACGCAAGAGATGGGCCCATTATCCCACGCCTTGGCGCTGGCTCGGCCATCACCCTGGCGCGGTCCAGTCTGAGCATCCCAGTCCTCGGAGGCTCGGAGCAACCATCGGAGAACCAAACTTTGTCGGCCGTGGAATTGCCATTAGTCGATTGTTCAACGGCTGTACTCTCGTCCACTGCTCGCCTCAGCTCCTTCAGAACAACTCCTCCTTCAGCAGCGATCGAGCACCCACTAGCCGGAAGTCCAGCCACATTATCGGAGTTGTCCTCAAGAGACTGCCACTACATCAAAGAGAGAAACTCCACATCTTCTTAGAGCAGGGTACTTCTTCCTACTACAATAAAGCGTATTAAGATTAATGTAGATATTAAATAGAAATCTAGAAGTCTACAATACTACTAGTCTTTATAAGGTTTTTTGTTAGGAGCTATTGTAAGCTGCAAGGCAAAGCTTGTTATCTCTATACATATTCAGTCTTTCCCTTGTGTACGGTGCTGCTGTTCTTCCTCTTCTTGTTCCTGTTTGAAAGTAGGCAAACCGGACGCTTGTCAAAGAAGGAAACGTCCATGTCTGAGCCTGACAAGGAGATCAAGATCGAGTAAGCTACCATGTCTTGTAATGGAATGAGATAGGATTTAAGGGAATGCGGCGAAAACGGATGCTGAGAGTTGGTGGCATTGAACTCTTCGTCATAAGGAGACACAGGCTGGATACGTTGGTGCCTAGCCATAGGCGTGAGTGAAAATTGATAGTATAGTTGATAAATTCTCAGAGCTCGCTCGGAATCTGAACTTCAAGGTAAGGATGTTTTAGAAAATATATACCAGGCAAGAAGTGAATATGTACAGGAAGATTGGGTCAGGAACGACGAGTGTTAGGCGCCTGGCGATGAGCACTCACTGACCAGCAAGTTTTGTGATTGGCGGTGTGTTCGGGTAGAAGCTCGCCGGCATGGTCGGAATAGGGATAGGGCTAGCAGTACCGAAGGCCGTCTTGAGATTCTCCTTCATTGTAGGTGCAGAGTAGCCGGTAGGTGCAGCAGTTTGAGTGCTGGTAGTCGCTGCATACGACGGTCCAGTTCCCTTCTTCAAGCAGAAACCACTGCCGTAGCCGTTCTGGCATTGGTAGATGTTGTGATTGCCCTTTTCAGTCCACATAGCGAGATCTTGGATGTTGATATCCGTGCAAGGTGCCTGCAGATGCGGAGGTACGAAGTTAGTGATGGCACACATACAATCCGTATAGTCCCCACTTACCTTGTCTGCGCAGGCCACCTTGACAGGCCCACGGTTCAATCCGTATTCGACCGTGCCTTTCCAGTTCTTGAAAGTCATGTTGCTGAGCTGTACACCATTGCCGGCAATAGCGCTCATCGAAGCCCACTTCTGGTCGATATCGAGAGACCATGCGTTACCGTGACCGATAAAGTTCTCGAAAACGACGTCTTCGACATAACCGCTGCCACCGTTTGACTTGACCATCATCATCTGGTTAGACTTCCATGTGTAGATGTTCTTGTAGACGATGGAAGAGATGGCAGTATCGGCGCCAAGCGATCCCATAGCGCAGCCGCCACTCCAGTTACAGTAGATGTTCTCGATCAGAACGTTCTTGGAAGGTGACTTTACAGTGACACACTCGTCCTTGTTGGTTACCATGATCTGTAGCTCTGGTTAGTAATACAATATCATGCGAAACTTGTTGCAATACTCACGTCATGGACCCTGGATTTTGAGTTACGAAGTTAGTGCTTGTCTCACATACAGTTGGTACATGGATACTCACCAGAGATTGGTACCAGTAACATCCACACCGTCAAGACCGCCCCAGTCACCTCCGCGGATAGCCATGTTGTATGCTTCACCATTCATGCAAGTGTTGATGACGAAGTGGAACATGGGAGCATCGACCAGAATGATGTCCTGAGGTACGGGTATACCAGGTCAGTATGCATCTTAGATACAATCCATATAGGGACATCTCTTACGTGGACGGAGAAATTGTTTGACTTCTCGATGCGGAGAAGACGAGCGCCGTTCCGCTTGCCGTTCTTGTGGTCCTGGTAGCCGTTACCTACAATCGGATTAGTACTATAGAAAAGTAGATTTACATATGAAGTGATATACCTTGAATAGCACCCTTGCCGGTGCTGCTGAACATCTCGAAATCGTTTGCATTTCTAACGAACAGCATGTTACCAGCCTCAGTACCTGTGCGATAGATGATGCCGTCAAGCTGAAGTGCCCATGCCTTGCCACCTTCAAAAGTAACCCATGTCTTCAAGGCATAGTCTCCGGAAGGAACAATGACGGTACCACCTGTCTTGCAAGCCGTGAATGCCTTAAGAAGTGCTGGACCAAGATCTGTTGACTTGTCTGCCTTCGCACCATAGTTCATGACATTACAAGTCTTCTTAGCGGTTTTGGCAGCGTGTGTAGTCAGAGGTCCGACCTTGCCCGATAACTGACCGAACGCTGGTGCAATGGCCGCGGCTGCGAGAAGAAATTGCGAAAAATGCATTCTGAAAGGGAAAAACCTGCTCAGCAGGAACGAGTGACTGAAATAGTAAAGAGCGATAGCGAAAGAACGGCTTTCGAGAGATGAGGAACCTAGAGGAGCTTGGAGCTGAGAGCAGAGCTTGAGATATACGCGTACGGCAAGCCTAGACACAAAGACCAACTGCAAATCCTAGGTGAAGATCCAAACTAATCTCAAGTTCCGAGTGGGGCCACAGGCATGACGGGCCCCTATATTGCATCCTCAGGAAACCCAACGATTGTGACGCGGATCATTGCTTCGTGATTCTTTTCCTGTGATCTACAAGACCCTGTAGGTAGCCCGCAGAGAATTTCTTTTTTCCTATGCAGAGCGCCAGTGAATTCTCTGACGTTCACAAAAGAATGCTAAGGCGCGCGTCACTTCATCTATCGCGTACAAGCTTGAAGCAGCGAGGCGATTACCGTCATGTCGGTAATGCTTGTCATAATGCTTGACCCAGTCGAGTTTCAACGTATGCGCCTCGAACCTCTGTGGCGCAAAAATCGAGGCCGCCTTCCCCGATCGATGCGTAGACTGCTGTCAATTGAGTGTTCGTGGAGATGAACAGGTGCGGGACGATGCCGATGCCGTGAGCTACGAAAGGATTCGTGGAAACATGTTTCATAAGTCGTTATGAAGGAGCGATGTGCGCTGGGGCCCTCCAACGGGTCCCTCCAACGGGTCCCTATCGTGGCATATTACTCCGAAGAGACGTCGAAAACAGCGGACTTAAGTGTGCTGACATGATGCGTTTCGCGAAAGATGGGTGCGGATGGCTGATAGGGGAAAGAGCTACGCCGAAACGCGTGACGCGGGTTGATCTCGGAATCTCCGGAGCTGATCGGGAACAAACAGATCGCATCCCCTCGCGGGAGCAATTGACACGTCCGTTCATCGGAACTCAACACCGGTCACTCAGGATTCATGTCGCATCGCCCGCCTCATTTTTGTCTTTTGAAAAATGATATGGACTTTGGCCAAATGGACTATACACTCATCCGCTGCTCCACCTGTAGAACAACGCGCTGTCGCGTAACCGCCTTTGTCTTGCTGTTCTCATCATGTCCTTTCTTTTGACCGAAGCTCAGTTTGATCAGGTTATTGCGAGACTGTTTGAATTCTCAAGGCGAACCTTCAATTGATTCTTGGGAATGTAAAAGCTGCCTGGTGGCGCTAGTCAGTCTATTTGATAACTGGTGGTGGCAGAGTGGTAAACTTAGTGGAGCATCAACTTCGAGCGCAGCTCGCTGGTTGCGGCATCTTGCTTCTCTGTTTTTTTCGCCATTCCAGCCTGCTTCTTCGCTACCCCCAACCCAAATTGGCTCTGGAAGGTCCAGATGAGCACATAGAGTTGCTGCGAATTACATCCACCCAAAAGATAGAATTATCACGTAGGGGAAAACAGCAGAACGCATGCGACACAGTACACCATCATGGCGGCTGGTGGTCTGATACTTCTCCGCTTCTACAACGAAGCCTCCACTGCTCCCACTATCTTGGACTTTAGCGCGCGTAAGTATTTCATGACGCTTCTTTCTGGACTCTCTCTCGCTTTCCACTCGGAGTGAACACCTCTCCACTCTGTCAAACATCACATGCCTATCTGGCTCATCTGCTCCGCTTTCTTTGATATCTTAGTGATCTTCTCATTATCAAACCCTTCACCCTTCGTGGGGTGCTGGCTCGTTTCTGCAAAGCGCCGCAGAGCAGACTGTATAGCGTCGACGTCGAGCAAACTATCGATCATGCGAGCCAAGAGATCCTCACCAGCTAGATCAGCTTGATACAGGATTTTTGCATAGTATTGCAAGGTGAATGCGAGGGCTGTGACCAGCGTTGTGATAGCGATCACGCTCGGCATTGTCGAAAGGGGCTGCCAGACTCTGACATGGTACAAAACGTGGACTGGGAACACAGAACCAGTAAAGTGCAGATGGAAAGAGTTCAGTCATGATAGTGGGATACATTCCATCTCAAGTCAGCCTCGCTCTGCATCCTTATAACACGCCGCATAGCACATGCATGGAGCTAGATTAGGCGACAAGATCGAAAACCTACTGCAGGATCACATAGCGAGTCCACAAACTAATTAAGGTTTTTGATAACTCAGTATTATTTGATACAAGATACCTGCTAGCGTAACACCACAATCCTTCTGTGATGCACTATAAAGCATACCTAGAAGAACTAAATGAAAAAGATGGTCCTAACAGAGTAAGAACTATCCTTGTATCGTACCAACGCCTTGCAGAAGAACACAAAATCTGATAGGCATTCCCGAACTCCTCACTGCGCCAATGCTCTTTTTTACCACCACGCCATGCACTAAGTAGTTGAACATATCCTTTTTGCCCTTAAACACCATACACCTCTCTAAAGATCCAGTCACCTTAACCCGATTACAAGTAGCCCATCCAAAGTGGATCACACTGACTCAACTTAGCCGGATGCACCGCAACAGCCACAAGATCCACAACCGTCTGATTAGCCGGTAGGTTAGCACCCGTAGGCAGACTACCAATTGCACTAGCCCTCTTGACCACAAGATCGCTATTGCTCTGCACGCTTTCCCTTAGCACCTCTGGCGTAAGTTGGCTGGCCTTGTGCTGCGACGTAAACCAGTGGTTCATTTCATCGCGCATGAAGATACTGAGTTGCATCTCCAGCTCGCCTTCTGGTTCGATCAAACAGCGTGCCACGGTCATGACGCTAGGCGCGAAGATGCCCTCGAGGTTCAGCGGACCCATGAGAGTTTGTAGGTTGGGTGTCAGACGGAATGGAACGGGTTCAGAGTTGTGCAATATAGGCTTTCCGACTGCCATGCTGGGGATGAGCTCGGAGCCCCAGATGCGGCCGCTGGATCGTGAGACGCTGATCTTCTGTGGGAAGCGCGTGTTCATGTGCATAACGTAAGTCATGAATGTCAATGCAGCGAGTTGGTAGCTGAAGGTACGGCGGAAGAGCCAGAAGTCGGCGAAAGTAGGGAAGGTAGCGCGGAAGTAGTCTTGTATAACGGTCGGTGGCACGTACTTCTCCTGTACAGCAGCGAAGGTCTCGAGGCGAATGCTGTTGGCATGATCCAGATTCTTCTGTTGGGTTTGAGTTAGAGACAAGTAGTCGGCCGGTGTATATAAAGAACAACTTACTGGCTGGAGTGCTCTCAGCTTCTCAATGCTGAAAAGCACTGGCTCATCCTTGTTGATACCGTTCTTGCGGCAATAATCCTCGTAGATGCCTTGCATGTTGATGTAAGACGCATCATCTTGTACCATGCGCACGCTAGGCGTGATTGGTACCATGAGTGGGAGATGGAACTGGAGATTTCTCCTCCGACTCTCCTTGCGTTTAGCCAGGATACCGTTGAAGATGCGGAACAACTGCAAGATACGCTCCTCACGTCTCGAGCTTCTAGCAGCGGGGAACTGAATAGCGAACGGGTGCACGCTTCCGTCGTGGCCACGAATCCTGAGGCGACGATGGCAAATACCAACACCGCGAACCAGCTCCACATCAGGGAGGAAGCGCTCAATGCGTACAAAGTCGGAGTTCTTATCGCGATGTTGCAGATACTGCCCGGGCACTTCAACATCGTCGAACTTGAGGAAGCGGAACTCGCTGAGTTGATGCGTGTACTGTTCGAGCGGGACTGTGAGCTTCCTGCGATCAAGCCTCTCCTCAAAGCGATTTCGCCAAGTGCGCAACTTCTGGATGTACTCGTACATCGTCGGCTTGTTGGTGACGAAGTCTTTCTCGAATGCCTTGCGGATGTGAGGCGGAAGAACTGACTCAGCGAAACGTGTGATGTTAGCCTCAGTTGATGCTGGCAACTTGATCTCTCTTGCGTAGAGATTTGGTTGGCGGCCGACGTAGGACAAACCATCATTGAGCAGAGCAACGATGAGTCGATAGGCATCTTCATCTGGAGGGCACTTGAAGTTCTTCTGAATCTGATCCAGCATCGTCTCCATACTAAGGGCGAGGAGAGGGAACGCTGTCTTGAGGATAGCGCTGATCTCCTCGACGTGGTCCCAGGGCTTCTTTGGCGCTGGCGCAGCCTCGCTAGGGGCGGGTGCGCCATCTTGCGTGGCGGTTTCTGTCTTCACTGTACCATTCGGTGTGCCATTCGCAGCAGATTTGATGTCAGCACCTGCGGTCGTTGGTCGGCTACCTGTGCTGGAACCGGGCCTGGTATCTGGTGATGCCTGCTTCGGTGCTGGCGATGCCTGTCCCTGTTGTTGTTTAGCCTTCGCGGCCTTCTCTTTCGCCTCCTTCTGCTCGTGCGTCTTCTTGAGGACCGCCATGTCTTCCCGCGTTGTCCGGAGATGACAGTAAAGCGCCTGTGGGTAAGTCTTCGCCAGCTTGCCGAGAATGGATCTAGCGATGGGGGCTTCTTGTCGTGAGAGACTGTTCAACAACTGCGGAATGTAAGTTATCCAATACCACGCCGGAGTGTCACCCTTGAACTCTTCAAATTTCTCCGCCAACTTCCTCTCCGGGTTGTCCAAGCTGAGTAACCACAACACACGTCCCAACAGTTTCCTCGACTTTGCGTTCTTGAATTGACTCGCTGCTTCAAGGTAGCAGCTGAGTGCCGCCTCAGCCCTCTCCAGGTTCTGAGGTTCCTCCTTGAATAACATGTCGTTGTACCTACCCCATTCTGCCCAAGCCTTAGGCAGCTTGATGTCGAAGTATAAGGCAGTACCAAATGCTTCACCAGCTTCGTTCTTCTGACCCAACTTGGCCAAGAACATACCCTTGAGCGTGTAGAACTCGGCCTTTTGGTTGGGTCCGAAGTAGTTAAGATTGGTGTTGTTAATCACGTCCAGCCCGCTATTGAGATCGGCTTTGATCTGGTAGTGACACTTGGCCTGTTCGCGCAGCTTCAGGAAGGCTTCCTGAATCTCGATGTTGGGAAGGGTGTAGATGCGTCCAAGCTGGTTGATGCAAACTTCTGGCAAGTTATGCTTGCGCGCCACATGCGCAAATCGGTTGATGATCCATGCCGTCTCATGATAACCTCGGTAAGCAAAGGAATTGCCGCTGGCATTGTTCTGGTTTGGCGGAAGGAGGTTAAGGTAGACGCCGTTGATGAGCTGGAAGATGTGCTGTCGCCAGGTCACGAGATCTTGCCATGCATTGATATCGTCCCAGAAGTTTGGTAAACGGTCACGCCATGTGCTGAGGAGCAACTTCAACTCTTGAGACTTGACGTCAAGGTTGACTTGAGTAGTCTGCGCGAGACTCTGGCAGATGACGCTTGCGTCGTGAAGCTCGACCAGCTGCTGGAAGTGTTGCAGCAGTGGGATGTGAGCCTGAGTGATGCGCCTAGGAAGCTGGTGCCATTTCCTGATTGAAAGCTGAATCGACTCATCGCACAATCGATGGAACTCCGGTTGCGACTCCTGCTTGTTGTGAAGCTTAAGAAGAGACATAAAGGTCTGGAAGAAGACTCTTCGTGGTGTTGGCGCATCGCTGACAGCCTTGATAGTTGCATCGAGCTGCTCGCGTGTCTCAGCATTCTGCCAAGCATCAAATACTCGCCAGGTTGACTCCAGATAGAGGTCATTGAAGTTCTCATGCTTGGCGAAGTCGCTCAGGATTTCCCATTGCTGCAGCTTCTGTGCGCAAATCACCCAGTGATCCTCCCAAAGCATGTACTCCCCAGTACTGAAGGGCAAGACGGAGGTACGCGCCTTGATCTGTGCAGCCTCGTACATTTGCTGTGCTTTGTCCCAGATACCACATTGCTCGTAGGATAGAGCAGCGTTGGACTCGATGAACTGGCAACGTCGCCGCCATGTTCCATAGAATAAGTCGTCTTCTTGTAGACCACTGTATATTTCCAGTAAAGCATCCAGATTACTCTCGCGTAGCTTCTCGACATCGACGACAGGCGAGATAGCGGAGTCTTCCATATACACAGCAGCAGTGTACCACGCGTTGTATGTTTGAGCGAGGTACTTCATGATGTGGGGCGGAAACTTGACTCGTGGCCGAGCGTGAACGATACCATCAAGCATGGTGGCGACACAGTTGGGTCGCTTGTCAAGTTGACGAGAGTGGTAGTCTTTGGTAAGCAGTGCAGCCATACCTTTCTCAAGATCGCTCTGATCGTCCTTCGTAAGCGCTGTCCAAGCAAGCGGAAAGAAGGCAATCCAGATGTCGTGTGCAAGGTTGCTATCTGTGTGTTGCAGATGCCCTAGTGGTTCGAAAATGTCCTTGATCTTGACGTCGGCCAATTGATTGCAGAAACGGCGATGGCCATTAACAAGGTTCTCCAGTTCATCGTCAACTATGACGTCTGCAATTCTAGGGTCTCTACTGTACGACCCGAACAGAGCCGTGGGTTGCATAAGACGGAAGTCTTCGGAATGAAGCTGTGCCGGCGTGTTCATCTCAACAGAGCCAAACATCAGGTGAATGACTTGGCTGAGCCAGTAGCTGTCAGAAAGTGTGTCCCAGTTCTGGGACGCGAGCACGTAGCTTAGGCGACTAGCTGCTGTGCGACTTAGGCTCTTGTCGAAGATGGTCATGTATCGGTTCCGCATCTCGACATCCTGCGCTCGAGTACCGATCAAAAATGCATGCTCCATACGTACTGTAAGTTCACTCCTTGTAATCTTGGGATCTTCGTAGATGCGGATGACGAGATCCAAGAAGCGGGTCAGCAGCGACGTATCTGCCCGGTGTTCGAAGAGCAGCATCTTGCTTAAGACTGCCGTCTTCTCCTTGAGTGTCGGCACAGGCTCGGTAGAGTGGAAGATCCATTCTTCGACAAGGTCCAGTACCTTCATACAGACAGAGTTGGTTTGGGATCGCTCTACGAGTGAAGCAAGTACACTGAGATAGGGTCTTCGGTTT